TGGAGGCAACGTAGCCTCCTTTGTCTGCAGCAAGGGACAAATCTCACCCTGAGCCATCATCATCCGCAGCCCTGAGGTCCATGGGTTTGGACTCAGGAACAACTGTCCCAGGCGCTCAGAAGCACCTCAGAAGTGTTATGGGAGCGTGACCGGTAGTGCTTTGTCCACAAAGAAATCACCAAAGGACTTCAGAGGCCGTCTACGTCCCAACTGTGCCTGGTGTAAAGCAGTTTCCTGTAAGGCATCCCCATCGTGTGGCCCCTAAGGCTCCACTTGAAAGACTCCCTCCCTCACAAGGTAGCCCAGGCAGGCAGGCAGCAGCCAGCCAGCACTTAAGTGCTTATGACGTGCTAGGCATCCTACTAAGCCCTGGAGATACAAAGGGAAACAAAACAAAACAAAATAGTTCCTGCTGTCAAGGAGGTCACAGTTACAGGCAAACAGCTATCTGCAAACAGGATCCACGAGATAATTAGAGATAATGTCAGAGGGAAGACACCAAGATCTAGGAGGTCCGGGGAAGGCATCCTGTAGAACATAGGACTCAGCTGGGACTTGAAGGAAGCCAGGGAAGCCCGGAGGCAGGGACGAGCAGGGAGAGCCTTCCCTGCATGGAAGACAGCCAGGGAAAGTCTCGTGTCCCTCCCTCGAGAATGGGAAGCCCGCCCTACGCTTCCTCTTCCACAGCCCCCAACCCCACCCCCTTCCCCAGTGCCTTCCTCCTGGCCTCCAGGCTGCTCTCTGCTAGTTTATTTCTAATTACGGGAAGGTTCTGATGGCTCTGCTCTCTGCTCAGGAATGAGGGACACATCGAACCGTATTTAATAGTGGTTTGAGGGCCACCCCGTTGACATTCCTTCGAAAGAGCTTCATGATGGGGTTGCAGGAGCGGTTCGGAAGGAGCCTGTTGCCATCTGGAATGTGACGGTGGATACCGCGGTAGTTAAAGCAAACAGCACTCATCAAAATCACAGCGGCTGCATTTCCAGTTCATTAGCAATCCTGTGATCCCCGCTGGCGGAGACATCTTCCAGGCGCCTGTACAAGGATGCTCCACCTAACGAACGGCAGTTAAGTCAAGGGGCGACTGACTGCCCTTCTCCCAGGAATGAGCGGATGGAGATATGAAAAGGGGCTTCGACTTGGCTATTCAAGCAACTAACTGCACTAGCTTTAAATTCAATTAAGTGGAGTGAGCTCCTAGATAGCAGGAGAAAAATAAGCCAGTTTTCTCCCTCATTAGTCCTAGTAAAACTGGCCTGCTAGTCTGTAACTCACTTCACCCCCTGCCCCCTGCCTGGAATGCATGCCCGTCTTCATTTGCCCTCTTAGAATTCTTTTTTTTTTTTTCAAAGCTCAGGTGCCTTCTCCCACACAAGGGTATTCTTGATCTCTCCCCCCACCTTTGCCTGGCACACAGTAGGAGCTTAACAAAGGCTGATTGATTCCCACCCCAGTAGACTATAGGTTCCCTCAGGGCACATATTTCCATATATTTCTTTGTATGCCCTGCCCAAGCACTCAGCTGGCATTACAGCAGACACTTAATAATTGCGGAATTGAATTGCAATTCCATTTCCCTGCATGACTGGGACCATCAAACTCATTTCAGACTGTGCAGGCAGAGATTTCAAAGCTTGTCACTTGGTTTCCTCATGGCTAAAATTCCAGACCTGCTACTTAGGACGTTCCCTAGGAAGACACATTCTGAGAATGTTGCCTATGCTGGGGCAGTGTTCTCCATGGGACCTGAATGCCATGTCCTACTTAGAACTGAATGGGAGAAATGCCCCTCACTCTCCTCTTTGCAGATGTGAGGGACCACAGGTGGGCAGCAGTGCACATAAAGTCATTCAGCTGATGAGTAAGCTGAGTCATTTGACTGTAGTTTTTTTTCTCTCTCTTTTTCAAACTCCTTTATTCTATGGGACGGCTCACTGAGTGAGGGAGAGTGAAGGACACATACGGCGTCAGTGATTTTGTGTAACCACATATACATGTATACACTCACACAACGCTCATGCATTGACGAGTGAGAATCGGACCGAGCTAACATCCATAACGTCTGCTAATGTTGTGGTGAAGAAAACCGGACAGGGAAAACCCCGCACCTCCCTTCCAGTGGCACGCTTCTTCTCAATTCTTTCTGTTTATCTGGATGTAAGACCACAGCCAACACATAAGGAAAAGCAAGACCACTCAGACTTTCCCCAACGTCCTCCGACCCCTCATGGCTGTGCAGATGACCTGGGCTTCTCAAAGGCTCTGCCCGGAAAGGGAAGGATTCAGCAGGTTCTGTAAGCTGAAAAAGCTCCAAGTACAGGTCCACTGATGGATGGCAAGTCTCGCATTCAAGGCCTAGTCTAGATGGGCTCTTGACACTAAATTCTAGCTACAAAACTGGAGTCAGGAAGGTCTCAGCTCAAATCTGGCCTCTGATTCTTCCTAGCTGCATGACCTTGGGTAGGTCACTTAGCCCTTGTCCCAGTTTCCTCATCCATGATATGGCTATGCTGATAGCACCTCCCTTGTTTGGCTGTTGTGAGGACCAAAGGAGAGAATATTTGTAAAGCTGTTAAGAGGGAAATTTAACAAAAGGGTAAACTGAGGCAAATCTCTGTGCAACATGACATTGATTAGCAGGGGCGTGGGGCTGGTCAATAAATGGGTCACTGGCCTGCCTCCGTTTATGCCACAGTCCCCAAGCAGACCCCTTTTACAGGATTTCAGGAGCTATGGAACAAAGACCACAAGAGGACAGAGGACCTCGCGGGTTTGGGGACAACACTACTGGTCACAGAGCTGAGGTGCAGGGAGCTACACGACCGTTTGGAAGCTTGGTAACGGCTGCCAGCAACAACCCCCCTTCTCTCATGAGACTACGAAGTGCTCACCATTTGAGAGTAGCGCAAGGTTTAGAGATAAGGGACCAGACACTGACATTGATGGACAGCAAAGCGGACGTCCTTCAAAGACATCTCAGTGGCATGAAACAGTAGGCCCCACTCCTCTGCTTTCACCCCCCCCCAAGACCAGACCGGTGATTAGCAAGAGAAATGGATTTCTAAAGTGAACTCGTTACAAGCCAGCTGAATTCTGAACCCTCACCTACACCACTGCAGGACAAAAACAGGTAACTAAATCGGTTCGGTAAATGAACGAAACAGGACCCATCTTTTCGGATCAATGCCAGCTCTCTCCCGAGCCCTCCAGTCCTCAGAGGTCGCCAAACTTCAGGACGTGCCTTTCACTCCAAGGCCTTGCCTAGTCTACTTCTCAAACTTCATTTTTTATGGGGCCTTGGCTATGAGGGCGACTCAGAAGGGTCCTTGGTCTCTTGGAAGATGGCGGCCGCACTAACACCGTGCGGACCAAGGATGATACTGCCCTCTTTGGCCCTGTCCTGCCTGTTACGTAATCCAATGGGGCATGGCCAAGTTGTCCACCTGGGGCCTACTGCTCCCGAGCCAATCCTGCTGTGTCGGAGAGCAAGCGGAAAGCTCACCAACTCTAACTCTTCCTCCGACCTTTCCATGCAGACAATCAATCATCAGACTTGCCATGGCAAGAAACTTTTTTTTTGGCTTTCTGGTGAGGAAATCAGGGTTGAGTGACTTGCCCCGAGTCACACAGCTAGTAGGTGTTAAGTGTCTGATGTCAGATTTGAACTCAGGTCCTCCCGACCCCAGAGCTGGAGCTCTATCCACTCTGAGTAGCAAGAAACTTCATAAGAGAGCTAGCAGTGACCAGAACAAAGAAATCCCAGGATGCCTGACTTTCAAATGAGAAATTACCAGGACGAAACTGGTCCTTTATTGGAGAAAGAAGGCAGAGGCCTGACCCGGCACCCAAAAGTTTGCTGTTGTTACGGCCTTTACGACCTGTTCAAACCCAGGGAATCACAGAGCTCTTACCTCACTGTTCCTCAAGCCTTCACTCGGTGACTTGGGAATTTCAGTTCTGGGCCATGGCTCCACTCGCACGCCAAGCTGCCTGCTTTTAAGGGCAAATGTGCTCCTTTCGGGTCCTGTGTAGGTGGCCACCCAGGAGACCCTTGTACTGCTGCTCCCGATCCCAAGAAGAGTCCTAATGTGGACAGTGGAAGCCCCTTTCTTACTCCCTCCCGTGCCTGCATGTTGTCTCCTCCCTTGGAATGTCAGTGCTTTGAGGACAGGGCCTGTGTTCTAGACTTTCTTGGTCTGAGCACGGGGCTTGGCACATTTCAGTTGTCTGACTCTTCATGAGCCATTTGGGGTTTTCTTGGCAGAGGGACTGGAGTGCACTGCCATTTCCCTCTCCAGTTCATTTAACAGGTGGGGAAACTGAGGTAAACGCGGCGAAGTGACTTACACAGGGTCACACAGCTAGGAACTGTCTGAGACTGGATCTAAACTCACCGAGATGAGTCTTTCTGACTCCGGAGCTGGCGCTCCATCCACTGCGCCACCTAGCGTGGGGCCTGGCATGTATTAAGCGCCCAGTGTCAGCTGGCCGACTAGCTGGTCTCAGAGCTTCCTGAGCCCACATGACTGCTACTAACTGATCAATCTATGCCAACCCTCAGGCCAAGACTGTCAAAAATGGTGGCGCCGTCTGGACCTGGCCCCCAAAGGGAGAGCCCAGGCAAGGACGTAGCTGCTCCGGGCCAGCGCTGATGCCCTGGCGCTCTGTTGCCTGTCTTGGAGAATCAGACGGCTTCGCTGACCCTCTCCTCGCCTGTGGAACAGGATCTGTAACCCCAGTGGGCCTCCACGCCCACTCATATTCTCTCTCCCCAGGCAGCTCTGGGAGGCTGTACGCTACACGGGGGTTTCTAATCTAGGTGGATGGGGGGACTTTCCATCCCGGACGCTTCCTTTGCACATAAAAACTCAGGTCAAGACACATACTCACAAGGTCCCGAAGTACGACAACGAAGCCCATGTGTGTCAAGCGAAGAGGGCGTTTACAGGCTCAAATCATGCCACACATAACAGATGGGCACTCTTTGAAAACAGAAATTGTTTCAGCAAGTCAACAGGCATTTATTGAGCACCGACTGCATGCCAGGCACTGTGCAGTTCATTCTTAAGACTGTCTCTCTCTATCGCTGGCACCTTGCACCATGCCTGGCACACACGATGGGGATTAATACATGTTTGCTGATACTGTATTCCAACGAGGTATTTACTGAATTTCATGCACATGTCCCTTTTCCCTGCCCCTCGAATTCAGAGTGAGGCAGAAGCAATGCAGCTCATTCCTGAGCTAGGCGGTGAAAATGAGAAGATGCCGCGAGCCCTTCCTCCTCTCGCTGCCTGACACACCACCCCCAGCTCCCGGCTGCTGGAGGGAGGGTGCTGACCGAGCCCACCTGTCCCCCTCGAGCTGGCCTGGGACAGAGCCGAATGTGGATGGGGACTAAGCTGCCCCGGAGCAGGACAGGCTCTCTGGCCGAAGCACTTTCTGCAGGCCTGCGGCCAAGTCGTGGGGGCAGGGCCTCTCTGCCGTGCAGCTCACAGGGATTCCGGCGCTGGCCATGGCTCGGGCTGTGGTTGGACCTATGGCTGCAAACTGAAATGACAAAAACCGGCCTTAAATTCCCGCAGAATGTAAGTTTCCTAAGGGCAGGGACAGCCTCATTTCTTTGAATCCCTAGTGCCTGGTACAGGGGTTGGCATACAGTAGGTGCTTAATGAATGCTTGTGGGATGGAAATGAAGGCAAAGTGTAAAGAGGCAGATGCACGGCCTGGTCTCCTAAAGCATGGTGACTCTACTCGTGAACCATCTGCGGGTGACACCGACCCTTTTAGAAAGTGGGATTGTGGCACACCGCAGGGCCAGCCAGGCCTGGAAGCAGAAAGAGCTGGGTTCAAGGCCCAGCATGCATATTTCCCAGCTGAGTGACCCTGGGCCAGTCACTGACCTGATACAAGTCTCTCACTCGTTAATGGAAGGGAATAAGCATTTATTAAGTGCCTGTGTGCCCAGCACCGGGCAAAGCACTCATCTGAAATCATCTCATTCGATCCTCACAAAAACCTGAGGAGGAGGGGCTGTGGTCGTTCCCCCTTTTACAGGTGGGGAGACTGAGGCAGGCAGCAGAGAAGCAGCCTGCCCAGACCCTGCTGGGAAGGAGAAGCAGCCCCAAAGCCATTGGGGTGGCCATTCACAGGATCACAGACCTGGGGTGCTGGGGACCATATGGGCCATCTGGCCCAATCCTTCATTTTACATAGGAGGGGACTGAGGAACGGGTGTGGTGGGGATTAAGGGACTACAGCTATGTGGCAGAAGGGATAGAGTGCTGGGCCTCAAGCCAGGGACACCCGAGTTCAAATCCTGCCTCAGACATGAGCTAAGTGACCCTGGACAAGTCACTTCACCTGTCTCCTTCAGTTTCCTCATCTGTAGTAGGGGGATAACAACAGCCCTGACCTCCAATGGTGGGTGTGAGGATCAAGTGCCTGGCATACAGCAGGCACTATATAAATGCTCACTTCATTCCTGTCTGTTTTCCTTTCCCCAAGGCCACGAGGTAATAAGCAGTGGGCTGGGATTTGAACTCGGGGTCACTGACTCTGCCTTCTCTGAACAGGGCCTAGCTTTTGGTGGCATGTCAGCTCAAATTGGATGACTCGCCCTCAACCTTGCCTGGAGGTGTGGCCCATCCCCTCACTGCCTGGTCCACCTTGCCAAGGTGCTCCTGGTCATAGGAGGGCAGTGGGCACAAGGGGAAAAGGGCTGGCCTAGGGTCAGAGACCTCGATTCGAATCCTGACTCTGCCTTGCTAGGTCACTGTAGGTGAGTCCCTTAGCTTCTTCCCCTGTGGGGTGAGTCCTTCCATCATGTAGAGGCTGCAAAGCTTTGTAAACCTCCAGAATGGGGAGCACCTGCCTCCCCCTCCCCCTCTGGGAGCCCAGCCCCCAAAGGGATCTGGGGTCAGGCCTCGGTGAAGCTGCTCTCTACACGCCCTCTGGACGAACCTGCCTCCCACCTGCCTCCACATGGGCCTACCCCTACCTGCTGGGAGCGGCTCCCACCTGTAGTCACACAGGGCAGTGGCTCCGCAGGAATCATGGGAAAGGACACATCTTTGGGGTCTTACTAAGGTTAACTTTGCTCCCTTGGTCTCAGCTTAAACTCGGGAGCCGTGCTGTGCCTGTCAAGCTCGCCAGCTCCCAGCCTGGTGCCTGTGGGATCTCTCTCTGTGCACCAACGAGAAACACAGCAACAGCCTGGCGAGTCTACGGTGCATCAGATGCTCAGAGAATTACTCACTTCACCCCGGTTTCCCCTCAACAGCCTTTCAGAACCACAGCTTTCTCCCTTTCTGTGGCTGGGCAACTTATTCCTGTGTCCTCCGGAATCCCTCTGGAACAATTTGCGGCAGCCTGGATGAAGCCTGAACACTGGCACCAAGGGCACCTTGCCCACCCTCCCGGGCTGCTTCCCTGCAGGTGCCCATTCTGCAAGCCCCCGGCCTACCCTCTGTAGATGCAAGGACCCTGGGGCACTAGCTGGGCACAGCGACACTATGGAGACAGAGGAGGCAGTTCCCTCAGAAAAGGCCAGTGGGCCGACTGAATATTGAACACAGCACCCTCCTGCCCAACCAAGAGCCCCCAGCGCAGGCACCCCTGCACACCACGCCCGGTTGGGCTGGGGCACCGAGGCCTCGGATGTCCCTGGGGTGCAAAGAGAGAGCCAAACAGTGCCTGGCTTCAAGGGGGTGGATTAGTAAATACAAAGTCACACCACATCGTTGCCAGGAGGAGCACGAGGCACGGGGTCGGGGAAGGCCTGGACAAGTCCCTGGTGTTGAGAGGCTCTGGGATTCTGGGTGGAGAACGAGAGGCCCAACTCAGGGCCTCTCAGGGCCCTTCTAGCACTAAGCTTTTAGGGGATCCCACTGAACCACTTAACACCAAGAGGATGGATCGAGGTTTGAATAAAACTACAGTGGGCATTGGCTACTTTACCTTAATCTGGTCAAAGCTGTCGCCAGATAACTCCTGAATGTAGCTGAGGCCATGTGTGAGCCCAGAAGGACTGAAGAAGGTGACACTGGCTGGAACGCCCTGTAGAGAAAGAGAAGACAAGTCCACGTCTCTGGCCCATAGGCAGGAGACACTTCCCCAGTCCTGGTGAGGTCAGCGCAATCTCACAAGCTTTACCGGATTCCCAGCACGTGGGCCAGACACGTAGTCAGTGCTGCCACGGACGTCGGCACAAGGAATGATGACGGTCACAGCTACTTTTGGAAGGAGGCTGAGCCTAACACCATTCAGCATCCTTCAATCATGGAGGCTCTTAAAGAGCCAGGCTCCCACAAAAGAAATGGACTCTGTCTTAAAAAATCACAGTAATAGCTCATGAATGTAGAAGACCTTTCCAGTGGGCTCTATGTGTAATAAGCTCACCAGCTGGTTAGAGGAAACTATCTAATGGGAGATTTTAAGGAGAAAATAAAAATCCAGGCACCATGTATAATTCTAGCAGCTCAAAGGTGAACCATTTCAATAAGCCACTGACTTCCAAAAGTCAGAGACTGGACAGAAGCAGAAATGCTGAGCCTGCTGCCATTTCTTCAAGAAGTTTCAGCGTTGCAATAGGCTGGAGGCCATGCTGAGCTCCAGGCCCCGAGGGCATGTGCATGTGAGCTGGAGGGACGGCAGGGGAGGGCCCGGGCAGCGGGGCCAGGAGCAAGCAGCAACGGCCTCAGCCTCGCTGGCGGCCGCACCAGGCTGTTCCGGGAAGTGACTATGCCAACGGAACGGCAGACGATGACACTGTTGTCCCCCGAGATGACGGCAGCGGTGGCTGCCCGTGTGCCTGCCCCCATCCGGTTTCTATAAAACGTTGATGCAAGTGGCCTAACCACACAGTGCAGACACGCTTGAAGACAGGACAGCAGAACTCAACAGGCCGCCAGACGGGCTTCTGAGAAGTGCAGAAGCTTCAGCCACATATCTGACTGACTGGGAGACGGACAGAAGGCTAGATCTCACTTACTGCTGCTGGATGGCTACAAAAGAAAGCTGCCCTCGGCCCAGGAGAAGAAAGCGCAGGCTTAAAGGCGCCTGTCTGCCACGAGTGCATTGTGACAGTGCCAGGTTTGTGACAGAAACAGCCACGGAAGTAACTTTGTTCAACAACTGTCTGAATACCCACGTCAAGGCAGGCATAAATGGTTGGGGGCTCAACGGCGGGCCGCGCCAGAGCCCTGGGAGGTACCCTGCCTGGCAGGAAGGTGAAAGAACAATTCCTGACCGCCGGTGATCTTTCCCAGATGTGTATGGCCACCCCAAACCTGCCATCTGGAGATGACAGTGGACGAGGGCCACTGAGCCCTGGAACACTGCAGAGCAGCATTTCTAAATTCTTGACAGAGATTCAGGCAAGAGGATTCCTGAAATCACGCTATCCTGTATTTTTCATAACATTTTATTTATGTGTTTTTAAAATAAGTGACCATAATAATAGTGAACCATCTTTCTGTGATAGGTTATACTAAAAACTGCAGAAGTTTTTTGTAAAATATCTATAACCCATGAATGCCTGGTTTAGTTTTACAAACAATATATGGTACCAATGATTCAAAACATGCACAGCAATGAGCTAGCTGGTTTCCTTTGTCTTCCTTTACTCATTACTAAGGACATCTACATAACTGATTAATAAACAAGAAATGCCAGCAAACAGTACTGGGCAGTGTCTGAACAATGTGACATACAGATCTTCTAACAAGGTTAACTCCATGTTGAAGTTGCCAATTTGAGGACTTAGTTGCTTCCACAGTTCATTATTTTTTGGAATGCTGCGCACGGGATTCACATAAAGTATGCTATGTATACAAACTTATTTAGATTTTTTTGCAAGAATATTACTCAATGTTAACAGCATACAGGGCCACAAACCTTCACTTACGTAGTCACAAGCATTGGTGTGCTCCCGGAAAGCACAACCTTTGACCCACGGGCCAGGGGTTCCTGCTCTTCTTTGTGACTTGTTTTCAGTGGATTCCTTCATACCAGTCAAGTCTCTGTGTTGACTGCTAACCTCTAATTCAGGAGAACCACAATATTTATTCCTCATTTGTTCTTGGGATTTGAAAAAAAAAACATACATTTCCCAAGGAATTCCAGGAAAAAATTCCTTGTATAAAGCCAACTCAATAAAACGTATAGTCACACAGTGCCTGGCACACAGTAGGCGCCTGTTTATTGAACTGAATTTGGGAGAAATCGGCTTAACTGGCCACCTTGGCAGAACAAAGTAGGTGAAGAACATGCACCTGGACAGGTAGCCCCCGGCCTCAGTCCCTCAGCATGCGATGTCCGTGGGCCTAATTATTTTCCATTCTGTTCAATAAGCCTTTATTGATTAAGAGCCTACTATGTACCAGGCACCATGGGAATGACACAAAGACAAAAAACCTGGCACCAGCACGTCAGACAGGGGTACGCCTGTGAGACTCCTTTCTACTGGGGATCTCAAGGCGTCTATCCCTTCCTTACCAGCTCTCTGGCTATGGATCAGGGAACGCCAGAGGGCCATGGAAAGATACCTAGTGGGCAGAAGTAGGCCGGGGCACACCCCCAGGGATGCCCGAGGGCAGGTGTGTATGGAGGCCTGCCCCGCAAGGGCGAGGACTAGCCGAGGTGCTGGGCTCCACGACAAGGTCTTGGCCGCCTCAGGCGGTGTGCTCATGGAGAGGTGTGGCTAAGAGCCCCCCAAGGGCATGGGAAGGTGTGCAGGGGTGCGACGATGCCCGCTCGGCCCCTACTCCTCCAGAGGCACTAGGAAGAGATCAAGGAAATCGCCTTTGCTGCAAGCACCTACGCGACCCCACTGGGCGCTGGGCGCTGGGGACACGCTCAGACTCTCAGGGGAAACGCCATCCCCAGACACAAGCAGGCACAAAAGAAACACAGTTTGGGGGTGGGGTGGCCACCTCTGGATTTCCCGCAGGCCCTTTTCCTGGCTTTGAGGCGGAGGGCCTGTGAGGTCTCTTCCACCATAAAAGATCCTGGCATGACTCCACTCTGGGCCCCAAGGCCCCCGAGGTGGTGACAAACACTGTGTGGTGCATGTCACAAAGACGGTGAACACCAAAGCTGCCCAGGGTGCCGCTGGCCTCCTACAAAGTCCACATGGAGGCAGAACATTCCCAGCTCAATGGTGCTAGAGTGACCCAGACACAGTGAGCCCCCGGGGAGTCCAACCTCCAATGTGGCGCCAAGCCAGAGGGAAGGTCAAGGGGTGGTGGGCAGGCCCGGGTTAGGATGGAGGCTCTTAGAGGCCTCCTCAGAAACCCAACGTACCTGTGAGGAGAAGTAGTTCTTCAGGGAGTCCCGTATGCCAGGATGCTGAATCTTCTGGTAAACAGTGATGCTTTCCAATGGGATACCTTAAAGGATGAAAAGCAGACAAAAGCACGGGGACCCTGAGAGCTGCGACGGGGCCCCTCCAGACACCATTTCACCATCGCTCCCCCCCAGCGAGGGCCTGCTGCTCTGCACTGAGCTGCCTGGAATAAGCGATTCCATCTGCTGAGCAGCATGATGGAAGGTGCTGGGTCTTCTTCCAGAGGCAAAAAGGGAGGGGAATGAAATTTTCTATAGTGCCTCTGTGTGCTGGGCATGTTGACACAAAGACAAAAGGTCAGAGATTGGCTGCTTTGACAGTTTCTATACAGGCCATCATGAATTCAAACACAAGCTTAGGATGGAAAATGAACAGCCCAGAAAGTGGACTTTCTAAGAACACTCACTCCCTACCCCAATCTTTGTGATCATTCACATCAATTCATTTCCACAGAGAGGAACAAAGCTGCCCTAAGGACCTGGGGAAAGGACCCAAAGGAAGGGCACATCTTGGGTTTAAAGCAAACGAAAAAGGGGCAGCTGGTAGCATAGTGGACAGAGCCCCGGGTCTGGAGTCGGGAAGACCTGCGTTCAAATCCAGCTTCAGACACTTATTGGCTGTATGACCTTGATCAAGAAACCCCCCTGCTGTCTGCCTCAAGCTTCCTCATCTGTAAAATGGGGGTAATAACACCACCTAGCTCTCAGGGCTGTGGGGATCAAAGGAGGTAATACAAAGTGCTGTGCAAGCTACTGCACTACAGAAATGCAAGCACTTGTCATGACTATTAAATTCTAACATTGCTCAAAGTGGCTGAGGCCCAGTGGAGTTCTTCTGTGAGCTCAGTAACAATCCTGCTATGCAGAAATGTATCAGCCTCTGGCCCCAAAGTCCAGGAGACTGGGCTCTCAGCCACCGTGAGAGACCCTTCCAGCTCCCACCTCTGGGCATCTGAGGCCTGCCATTTTGAAGGGCTGCCTGTTTCTCTCATGGGGCTACAATGTGACAGAAGTCCCAGACAAGGGCAGACAGCGCGGCGCTCCCAACAACCAGCTCTAGAGACCTTTTTGTCTGAGCATCTTGGGAAGTGTTTCTCCTTTGAGGGTTCCACAAGGAAAGAGAAGGGGCAGAGTCTCTGGCTTTTCTCCTGAAAGCACAAAGAAAACAAGAGAAAACATGAGCACTGGTTATGAGAGATGACTGAGAAGAGAGCACCTGGCCTCCCTGACCTCCCGGCTCTCTGCATGAGAACTGGAGACACAGGCGTGTCCAACAGTTGGGAAATGGCCAGACCGGGGCCCCTGTGGGTGATGGTATGCTGCTGTGCCAAAAGAAATGATGAAAAGGACAGCTTCCACGTGACCCAAAAATGCCCGTGTGAGTGGAAGAGGAACCACTGATACAAGCACCACACTCAGGACAAACCTTATCCAGTTAAATGACTGAGGGACATGGGGCCTGCGGTCAATCAACACAAGCCATACCAAGGGCAGAAGACCAGTGAGGAAGTGTGTCTGCAATGGCTGGGCAGAGGGGTGGGGGCTAGAGGTGCAGAATGGGACATGCTTGTTCCAACAAGGCCAATGCGTGAGTCTGGTTGTGTGATCAGTTTTATTTGTTAAGAGGGAGGGCTTTCTTTCACAGGGGAGGATGTAAAGGGGTCATGATCGTGGTCATTTTAAAAAGGAAGAAGAGAAAGGAAGTACTCACTAGCTAAACACAAGAAGAGAGGATTCCAAAGGGGATACAGCCTAGGGGGACAACATCAGAACCACCACTTCACACGCAGACTTCCTTTTCTGTTCTCCCATGGGCAGTGAGATACTCACATCTGTCCAGCTCGTAATAATGACAAGGGGCATTTGAAAAGAGAATGTCTACAGTGCCTTCAGAGGCGCAGAGCAAAGGGCTACCTGGATTCCCGGATTCTAACGCGGCTCTCCACAATGAGGGCCACCATTTCACACTCCCTGCCAGACGGCATTGGTTTGTTTTTTAAACATTAAATGGAATGCTAAGGTAAGGGTCGGGGCCTGCACTAATACCACTGAGAAGAGACAGAGGTGGCCAGTGCAAGGCCAATGGAAACTGAAAGTAGATCCAGGAGTCAATCAATCAACACACACTGATTAGGTACCTACTGTGTGCTAGGCACCGGGGATATAAGAACAAAGAATGAAACAAGTCCTGCTCCACAAAGAACTCGCCTTCTAATGGGGGAGACAACAGCACACAGATAAATATAAATAGATGAAGTACAAAGTTGAACACCGGTTCAGTTTTGGAGGATGAGTGGGGCCTAGCTGGGGGAGATCAGCACAGGCTTCATGTGAAATGACACCTGAGCTGTATCCCAAAGACGGGAGGACCCTACACGGAGGAAGTGAGGAGGGAGGGGACAGTGCAATGGCCTGGAGATGGGAGACAGAGCGTGAGGAACAGGGAGGCCAGTTTGCCTGGAAGGAAGAGCATGGAAAGAGAGGGAGGTGGAAAGAACAGGCCTGGGCCAGGCTGGGGAGGAGCTTCCGTCTTCTCCTGGAGGCCCCAAGGAGCTACTGGGTACTGCTGGGTAGGGGAGTCCTCCAGGCAGGCCTGCATGCGGAAGATGGCCTGGAGCACGGCGACACGCGAGGCACGGAGACGTCATCGGGAAGCTGTTTACGAAGACCCAGCTGAGTGGCTCTGAGGGTCTGAACCGAGGTAACTGTGTGTGGGGCAAGAAGGGGTCAGATGCAGGAGACACTGGGGAGGCAGAAGACCCCGGAGGGAGACTGAGGAGTGAGGAACCTGCCGTGGTATCCTAGAACCAAAGGGTAAAAGAGAAACTGAAAGAATCCACCAATCACCTCCTGAAAGAGATCCCAGAATGAAGACTCTCAGGCATGCCAATTCTAGAGCTCTCAGGTAAAAGAGAAAATATTTCAAGCAGCCAGAAAGAAACCACTAAATACCATGGAGTCACAGGCAGGATCACACCAGATTCAGCATTTACCACCTTAAAGGAGCAGAGGGCTAGGAATATGGTATTCCAGAAGGCGAAAGAGCTGCGATTACAATTAAAAAAATGATGTCCCCAAAAATCTACCCTCAAGGGAAAAATGGATATTTAATGAAATAGAGGGTTTTCAAGCATTCCTGCCGAAAAGACCTCAGTCCTCTTTGAGAACAAGGGATGAACAACCACGATGACAAGAGCAGCGCTGAACAGAAAATCTGACCTTCGGATACAAGACTGAGCAGAAGCATCAAAACCTAAGCAAGACAGAGCAACCGTAAGGGACCCAACAAGGGCGACTGTCCGCCTTTCTGTATGAGGAGACGATACAGGTCTTCTGAGGCCTTTATCATCATTAGGGCAGGTAGCAGGGTTAGACGTGGAAAGAGGGGGCAGAAGCGAGTACAACATGTCGGGATGATGGAAAGAGGGAAACACTGGGAAAAGAGGGAAAGGCAGCGTGGGGAAAATCATCTCACCTAAAAGAGGCATGCAAACAAGAGCTTTTATAGCAGAGGAGAAAGTGGAGGGGGCTGGTAATGCTTGAAAGTCACCCATTTAAATTGGTTCAAAGAGAAGAAAAAAAAATATATATATTTATACACACACACACACACACACACACACACACACACACACTCAATTAGTAATGGAACTCTCCAACAAAGAAGTAGGAGGGGAAGGGGATAAAAGAAGGGTGGGGGGGGGTGAAAAAAGACAAGATAGATAAAAGAAGGCAGTAGTCAGAAGCAAAACATATTTCAGAGGAGGGACAAGACAAAAAGAGAGAGAAAGATAAACAGAAGAAAATAGGATGGAGGGAAATGCACAGTTAGTAATCATAACTGTGAATGTGAATGGGACAAACTCACCTATAAAATAGAAGTGGACAGCAGAATGAATTAGAAACCAAAATCCAACAATTTTTTTTGTTTTTGTTTTTTTTTGCTTTTGCTTTTTTGGTGAGGCAATTGGGGGTAAGTAACTTGCCCAGGGTCACACAGCTAGTAAGTGTTAAGTGTCTGAGGACAGATTTGAACTCAGGTCCTCCTGACTCCAAGGCCAGAGCTCTATCTACTGCATCACCTACCTACCCCCAACAACACATTTTTTAACAAGAAACACTCTCGAAACAGAGAGACACACAAAGAGTTAAAATAAGGGGGCTGGAGCAGAATCTATTATGCTTCAGCTGAAGTAAAAAAGGCAGGGGTAGCAAACATGATCTCAGACAAAGCAAAAACAAAACCAGATCTAATTAGAAGGGATAAGCAGGGAAACTATATCTTGCTAAAAGGACCAAAAACAATGAAGTAATAGTATTGCTAAACATATATGTATCAAATGACATAGTATCCAGACTCTTAAAGGAAAAGTTAAATGAAATGAATTACAGGAGGAGACAAGACAGTAAACCTATACTAGTGGTAGACCTGAACTTTCCCCTTTCAGAGCTAGATAAATCTAACCATAAAACAAGTAAGAAGTCAAGGAGATGAACAGAATCTTTGAAAAGTTAGATATGATAGACTTCTGTAGAAAACTGAATGAGAATAGAAAAGATTATACTTCTTTCTCAGTTATACCTGGTACCTCTACAAAAAATGACCGTAGATTAAAAGTTAATTGAAAATTAATCTAATTGTAAAGAACAAATGGGTCAAAGAACAAATAAATCATAGAAACAATCAATAATTTCATTAAAGAGGACAACAATGAGACAACATCCCAAAATTTGTGGGATGAAGCCAAAGCAGTGATTAGGGAAAAATTTATACCTCTAACTGTACATCAATAAAATAGAGAAAGAGCAGATCAATTATTTGGCATACAACTAAAAAAAACTAAAAAAAGAACAAATCAAAAATCCCCAATTAAACACCAAGATGGAAATCCTGAAAATCGAAGGAGAGATTAATAAAACTGAAAGTAAAAAAAAAAAATAAACCATTGAACTAATAAATAAAACTAGGAGCTGGTTTTGTGGAAAAAAAGACAAAAGACGAAAAACAAGCCAACAATAAAATAGATAAATTCTTGGTTCATTTGGTTTAAAAAATTAAGAAGAAAACCAAATTATTACTATAAAAAATGAAAAGAGTGAATGCACTAATATGAAGAAATCTGAAGAGGAAATTGAATACTTAAATAATCCTATCTTTTTTTTTAGAAAAAGAAATTGAACAAGCCATAGGTGAGTTCCTTAAGAAAAAATCCCCATGACCAGATGGATTTATAAGTCAATTCTACCAAACATTCAAGGAACAGTTAATACCAATATTATATAAACTATTTAAAAAATTGGTAATACTAAGTTCCTTTTCTGACACGATATGGTTTTGATACCTAACCTAGCAAGAGCAAAGCAGAGAAAGAAAACTATAGATCGATTTTCTTAATGAATATCGATGCAAAACTTCCCAGTAAAGCACTAGGAAGGAGGTTACAGCAAACCGTCACAGAGATCGCACACTATGACCAGGTGGGATTTCTACCAGGAATGCAGGGCTCTTTCAGTATTCGGAAAACTATCAGAATCACTGACAGTATCAGTAACAAAAATCATATGATTCTGTCCATAGATACAGAAAAGGCCCTTGACAAACTACAGCATCCGTTCCTATTGAATACACCAGAAAGCGCAGGAATCAGTGGAGCTTGTCTTAACACGCTAAGTACTATCAATCTGAAACCAAGAGCAGGCATTATTCGTAGCGAGAATGTCCCCAGTCACCGCCAGTATTCAGCACTGTGCTAGAAATGCTACAGCAACGACACAAGAGAAGGAAACTGGAAGAATGAAAATAGGCCACGAGGAAACAAAACTCTCATTCCTTGCAGATGGCACGATCATATACTTAGAGAACCCTAGTGAATCAACTTTGTTTAGTCTTTTTAAAATTGCGTCTGACTCTTCATGACCCCATCTTGGTCTTTTCTTGGCAAAGATACTAGAGTGGTTTGCATTTCCTTCTTCAGGAAACTGAAGCAAACAAGGTTAAGTGACTTGCCCAGGGTTGCACTGCTAGTAAGTGTCTGAGGCTGAATTTGAATTCAGGCCTTCTTGACTCCAGGCCCAGCAGTCTATCCACTGTGACACCTAGCTACCAAACTAGTCAAAACAACTAATAACTTCAGCAAAGCTGCAGAAT